GAAGAATATTAATGTAAAATAAGAAATACAATGTAGAACAACGTCAACTTTGAAAGCCCACCCGCCCGATTTTATATACCAATCTTATAAGGTATCTACCCATATAGAGCTTCAGAATGAGGAATCATAATATATGGGTGGTCACCCACTTCATTTGAATAAAAATATTCCAAAGTGGTGCTCAGCCGCCATTATGAAATATTCAACTGCCGCTTTTACGCTTCAAATATACCAGGTGTAGCAAAGGTCAGGCATATAATAGCTTTGAATAAGTAGCCTAATTGTGATCTTGGGTTTGACCTTGATATTCACTTTTATGGTCATTTCAAGGACAATTCATGTTTTTTAAATGGAAAGCCCCCTTTTGGCATTGGTGATCAAAGAACGGAAATTCTACTACAAAACATGTATTGAAATATAAGATCAAGGCCACCAGTAAAGATCATATGGAGGTCGAATGTGCGAGGCTAAGGAAAGTTCATAGATGCTTATCATTATTATTGATGGATTAGACACCACGAACAAACCTTGAACATCACTTTCAAAGTCATCTCAAGGTCAACATGTTTCTGGCAAATACCCTCTCTGACACTGGCAGTGAAAACTTTTACATTCTGATACGTTCTCTTGTACAATAATACTCGATGTCAAATCTAAAGTCAACATTGAAATTCTAGTTGAAAGTGTCTGAATGATTTTTTCATCAGTATCCTGCTAAGCTGCTAAGACTTTCCCTAGTCTCACAAGTTTGCTTGACCTTCACTTGACTTCGATTGCCGGTGTCAAAAACGGGGCTTTTAATAAAAAAAGAATGGCGTCAAGTAGGTTGACCGTGCACTTCCCACCCAACGCCGTCATAAAGGATTATGTTCAGCACAAGTTGGAGAAACAGTTAGCTAAGAATATGTATAACAGAGAAATTGAGCAGATAAAGTCAGTCAAACATTTCCTTACAGTTAGTCTATACTATACGCACTTTTTTTCTACCCTAACGGTAGTCCATCTAGTAATTCGAGAACTCTCAGCAAGAACGGCACCCCGCCGGGAGCAGAAGTAGACGTGTATCGAAAACATTTCTCTGTCATTCAGTATCAAGGGAAAAGTACCGGGAAATTTTTCTCCTTCTCCTACAACTTTCCACCCCCAAATCTTTTACCAAAAAACGAAGCTTGCTCGATTTTTATTTATTTCGTTTTTGGCATTTTTCTCCGTTTACTGTACCGATTTTAAAAAAACTACAAGGCTTTTCCATCTTTAGCATAATAGGAACCTTTTGTAAGAATTTCATCCAAATCCGAGTTATACAGGGGCCAAAGATTAGCGGAAATACCGACAGACAGACCGACAGAAATGAGTAACATGGTATCTAGTGATGCACATGTGATACAAGATCCAGAACATTAATATCTCATTTTGGAAATATTTCGCGATTACAAAACTTCATCTGCGGTGATGAGCGTGGGACGTAAAAACGAAAGTTGAACTGGAAATGACCTCAAGGGTTAAGGGTCAAGGTCAAATTCAAGGTCCATATTGAATTTCTTCTCAAAGCTGGTAACGACCTGGCGTTGACCTTTACCTTACCCGGAAAAATACAGAGTCGTTTCTTGACTCTAGTTTCATCCGATAGTACTTCGGCATACATGTCATGACCCCGAATTCCAGCTTGTTAAGTTCACCAGTTCAAAAGATAAATCGGGGAAAGGGGATTCAAAGAAGTACGTTATATGTATGTCCTCTTCAACCCAACATAGCTCTATAATTATTGTGGGATGATTCTTGATTTGTTCGAAAGGCAGGAAGCTATCACATAGCAAAGGTATGTTCAACCGTTTAAAGACAATAGCGTGATGTTGAGCACAGATCAGAAACAAGATAGTTATACTGTAATAACTGACACGGTTTTCATATTGATAATCCTAAATGTTTGTCTGGCCGCGAAAGATGGATAAAATATATGTATGTGGAACTACATTAAATCATTGGTCTATACAAGCCGGCGTCATTAGATGAGCTCAGAGCCAATGTTGAACGAGAGATAACGGCCGTTTCTGTCGAAATGTGTGGCAGTCATTGAAAATCGGGTTCAACGAATCGATCGTTGCGAACGTGCCCGTGGTGGACAAATGAATAAGGTAGAATTCTATACATGAATGTTTTGAGTATACTTCAATCCAATAATACCTACAATTTTCAAGATATCTCGAATGATTTGCGTTTTATTTAAAAGAAAGTTGTCAAGTCCTTAATGGAAAACCCTTTATTTAGCTATGCCTGTCGATCAAATTCTTGATGCAGGGATAATCAGCAATTCAAAGCTGGATCGTTTTGACCGGTCTTTTGAAATAACTCAAAAAACAAAAATACTGTATGATGTCAACTGAGTCGTTCAAAAAGTCTTGCCCATGCATCTGTTCTCCAATAGGTTATGGGAAGCTTGTTAAATCTGTAACTTATACCTCATTTGGAAAGCTAATAAGCCATGCCATACGTGCGACGAAAAGCACATATAAAAAAGGTATAAGACTCCATATTACCTATTTTATGATATAAATGAGAGCCACAAGTGTGGAAACGTCGTAAGATACACTGCCATCAACCGGAACCCTTCCAGAGAAAACTCGTAAATCCTATAAAGGATATAGAGCAGTCGTAAAATATCCGCGCGGTTTAAATGTATCCCGCAGATGGGTGGTTTATGGTTTGTTTACGGAAAAGGCAACATTATCAAATCGGAAGTAAACTAGTGTAATAATCTGGAAATGAATCGCAGTTGGTATTTACGAGGTTTGACGTCATTTACTCGTGATGCTGATGTGATACTGGTCTCGATGATATACTACGTATAAGCCACAACTACGTATAAGATGAGAAAACGGATGAAATAGTTCTGGAATGATAAAATTTATTCCGCCGTTCATAGATCTCTGTCCCCATTTGAGCATGTGTTTCTTACTAACAGATCCACGGTAGCTAACTTAGCTAGGAGAGATAAGTGGATTATGGTAAAACCCTTATGAAGAGATTCAAACGACCTGGGATATAGCGGGATTAATGCGCAGGTTAAGCGCTAGTTTTCGAAGTCATCTTTAGGATTGTTTTCATGGAACTTGTGTTTCTGCGAGTCTGTCAGAAAACAGAATATGCCACTAGCAGTGGCGCATCATCTACGAGGTCATGGGGACAGGCCTTGACATATTGTTACTTACATGCTTTCGCCATAAAACAGGAAACATAGAATAAATATAAGAAGGAAAGGGCATGTGGACCAACAACATCTATTACCAGAATACGGAGGAAAGCTATGTATATAAATTTATTACTAGTTTGTTCGATGGCGACTAGACCGTATCTACTATAGTACCAGACTCGGCAACATTTAACGGCCACAGTGGTGACTCGGCTAACAATGCGAACTGAAATACAGTTCCAACTGACAGCTTGCTGTTTTCTCTTTCGTAAAGGTTGATTCTGGTGATAAATGGCACTTTGTGCTGTCTTATTCCACTTCCTGATCAGTGACGGGGATCCGAATTTCATCATCAGTGGTATGCTTCTGACTTATACCTCACTTTTGTGAGGTAAGCTGTTCTAGTCGTTCGGAGAAGCTCAAGTCCGTCATTGATATTGTCTCTGATTTGACCAAGGCTTTCGAATGTTCTTTTAAGAAAACTTCCTTCCTATAGGATACAGAGATCTACGCAGTTTGAGGTAATTCGGACTAATACGTAAAAACCTTAAAAATACGTTGAAAGTAGAACCTGTAAGAGTGATTGCTATTTTTTGTAATCAAATTCATACATTTTTCTACCTAAGCATGAACAAATGACGCGAAACAGCGCGGTCGTCAAACCACTCGTTTTCCTTTTATAGCGCTTTTACGCAAAGTCTAAAAAATAGGCAAATATTGCAGTATACTATTTAAAATAGACAACACATGCGGGTGCACTCGCGTGGAAGTAATGTAAAGTATAGGTCATTCGTTCCGCATTAATGTGTCTAAAGAAATGCAGTATTCAAAGTAAGGCAACAGTTACTTTGGCAACGAACATTTATTAACTACCATTTTAATGCAACAATAGAAAAATTTCAATGTTCCGCTTTTTTATGTCCTCGACAAAAAATAAGGAGTTTACTTGGAAATTTACTTCAGCTAAAAATGACCTTTAAGGTCATAGTCAGGTACATTGACAAGGATATACTTGAACTTAAAACTGTCCGCCATTTGCATTTCTGCAGATATTTCTCGTTAAAAGTTCATTTGAACTCAATAGCTATGGACATACTTCATCATAAAGTGTCTTGCTTTTCGCAATGTCAGGATCAAAAAGAGGGTTTCTATTCAAGAAAATGTTTTCAGGAAACAAACTGTCCATTTAAGAAAACTCTCATAGTCATGTTCTCTTCAAACCTTAAAACTTTATTAGACAACATTCTTCTTCAAGAAACGCATTTTTCGAGACATCCAGACCTTTTCGTACTTCCTGGATACCCTTAAATACTCATGAAGGTTATGGTCAAGGTCATAGGCGAATAGATACTTTAACCTGAAGCTTCCAGCTCTTTACATTTGCGGTGTCAAGAATATGGGTTTCATATAAGAAAACTGTCTTGAACCTCCAAATGACTTTTGAAGTCATAATCCAGGTCACCTTGACAACTTTTCCCAGCCTTACAACTTTGTTCTATAAGATATTTTAACCCGTAACTGGTGAGGTCCATTTTTTGTCCCGTATATGGTGAGGCGGGGTCATAGTGACCCCGCAATTTTTTTTGCAAGAGTCAATATTGTTTTTATATTAAAAAAAATCTGCCTTGATAACTGAAAAACCTTTATTTTCTGATAACGCTAACGCAGAAAACATTTGTTTATTAACTTAAATAACACAAAAAACACTTAAATCAAGAAACGGCCTCAAAAATCAGGTATTTTATTAATAACGTAATAATTACCCTGTAATTATAAAATGAGCTAACATAAATATTTTTTTTCTTAAAAACTAAACATATAGGTTCAATGTACCCTACAAACAACAAAATATAAACATAAACAAAATTTAACATAAAAATTGCAAGCCATTCTTACAAGCAATCTTTACAAATGTGTGTTTCACATACATGGCAAATAGGTGCTTTGCAACTAGCGCAAACAATCTTGGTTTTTCGATCTAATGATCTTGGACATTTAGAGCACCTTACCCTTTTTGTTAAAACATCATTTGACGGTTCAGGCACGTCTTTCTGTAAAATAGAGGCTACTCCTGCGATGTGTAGAATACACTGTACATTTTTCGTCTAATGCATCGACGCCTCCTTTGGTTTCATTATAAAATTCAATAATTTCTGTTTTTTTTTGTTTCATTATTTACTGTCTTACTGTAGTGCATTGAAGACATCAAAAGTACCGCTTTTCGTGGTTTGGGTACATAAGAAACTAGTGTAACTCTATCCCCAAATGCAAATAGGGAAGAGTCCGTAAGTCTACTTTTGTTTGGCAAAAAAGAAGCAGGTATCTCTGTTTTATTTTTTTAACAGTTCCCACGTAAGTTAGGCCTCGCTTCTGCAACTCAGTTTTATAACTGGTTTACATCATTAGAAGTTATCGTCTAATGATGTGAACCAATTGTCCGCTGCTACATTACGGTTAGTACCCTCAATAGATCTTACCAGACGAAGAACTGATTGCGTTGGTTTGTTAAATTTTCTTTCCTCTTCTGACAATATTTGACCGTCACTTCCAGCACCTGTATATACATACCGATCCAGAAAATAATGAGTTCGAGCGTCAGTTAGTGCCATTATTTTTAGGCCATATTTTCGGGGTTTATGAGGCATGTACATGCGAAATACACATCTCCCCCGAAAACCAATAAGCATTTCATCAATGCAAGCATACTGCCCTATGGAAAAATTCTTCTTGCTGTTTTCTGTAACCTTATTGAAAATTGATGAAATGGGGGCCAGTTTGTCAGTTTTTTACGGTCTTCCCTTGTAATTTGGTCATCAAACCTAAGCGCTGTCAAAAGTACTTGGAAACGTTTTATTGACATGGTGCATCTAAAAACTTCTCTACCAGTACCATCGGTAGCAAATATCGAATTTAAGTCTTCATTATTGGATTTAAAAATAGCTGAATAAAATAGCAACCCAATAAAAGCCTTTAATTCGATAACATCTAAATCCCTAAGGTCCGTTCTATTACCATCAGCATATTTGGTTCTAATTCTGGCAAGTTTTTCATTACTTCTGAGAACAATCTCATCTAAAATATCGCTTGTTATTAGGCATTCCCAGGCACTTTTCTCGAGACACAATTTTGCAAGAGACTTAGCTGGTCCAATAACTCCGGGAAGATGAGAGATAATATTATGACTTCCGGTTCTTACATTTGAAGGTGGAGCATCTGCAGTCCATTTGTATCGATTTTTACCATAGTACGTTCTCGGAGTTGAAGTTGGAATTTCTTGGTGCTCGTTGGAAGGTGCTGCATTTTGTGAGGTAGTATCTGAAACATCCAGTGTAGTTTCCAGTGCCACGGTTTCCGGCTCCCATTCAATTTCTGAATCGCTTTCGTGTTCACTGACATAATTGGGATCATTATGAGAGTCATCATTCCCGCTAAAGTCACTCTCTTCCGCCTCTAATATACTTTGAGTCCATTGTTCAAATCTGGGATCATTGATTTTCATTTTATTAATACGTGACAGGTCCATTTTCTCTAAAAATGCAAAAAACAAACTAATTTCCAAGGATATCTAAAAAAAACGTAACTAGTGAGGCGGGGTCATAGTGACCCCACTGCGCAATAAATTCAGTATAATTTGTAAACACTTACCGATTTACTCACGTCTATCCCTTCGGCTATCACACCAGACACTGACTGAAAGGTACCGAAGCGGTCGACCGGCTAGGCAAAATAACCTAAGACGTACGTCATTTTTAAAATCTGCTGGGGCTCTCACGACCCCACATCACCAGTTACGGGTTAATTTATTTATCCGCACTCTGTGAATACCCTGCATACATTCGCGAATAAAACCATGCTCCACTTGGATGTCAATTAGTGAGTGTGAAATTTTCACGTTTTCCCGAAATGTGATTCAGACGTGATGCTAAGAGACTGATTCATATATTTACATTTCCTGAGTTGCCGATGTATCCTTACAGGCTTCTTGAAAGTCAGATATCTTTGATTTGTTTCATGCCATATGAAGATTGGTCTTTGTTGCTAGTGCTATTGAATATCGCCAAGCCAAATTTCAGCATGTTATCATTTTTTTTAGAATATCGCCTGTCGTGACCGCGGTGTAAACATGGCCACCGTGTTTTGTCAGAATTGTCCAAATTATCATAGAAAAATGTCTTTGTCCTAATCCTGCTATACGATAAACTCCTGCCTTCATGGGGTTAATAACAGCAAAATTGCGGATGAAAGCGCACTATCTCTCAACATATAACGTATTTATTATTATTATCTCACAATAAATCAGAAGCAGTCCTTCCGAGATCCAAATACTTGAGGAATATAGCACTGCATAATTTGTTTGGTGTGGACATGTCGCATCTATTTCATCTGGCAACGAACAGTCTCAGAGGATATAACTTCAAATTGCAGAAGGAAGCTTTTAGAACCTCTACTCGTCAGCGCTTCATCTCAAACCGTGTCTTCGATGCATGGAACAGTCTTCCATCTTATGTAGTGAACTCGGAATCCGTCAACAGTTTCAAAAACAATTACGATAGACACCGCAGTGCTTAACATATTGTTCCCATTCTGTATATGTCTACTTCAGTAGTGCTAAGATTGTCAAATTGTTATATTTCTTTTGTCTGTACACTATTATCTATTTTTGTGTTTGAGTTTATAGTACTTGTACTCAACTCAAATTTGTTGTTTAATAATAATAATAATAATAAAAGGAAAGATGCTGAAGCTTCCATAAGCTATTATTTATCCGTAGACACACAATGTAGGAGCATCTGGCGCTGCACCTAAGTCAACAGAAATAGTCTCAGAATTGCTTATGAAAAAAAAAACGTCTGGCGACAGTCCTCGTTATAGCGTGGTAGCTTTATGTCATCACCATATGCCAGTGGAGAAGGAGCTATTCCGTTTTTAAAGTATGGAGGACCCCAAATGCTCAAAGATTAAAATGTCCCTCGTTGTTCAAACAGCAAAAATAGGGCCCCACATTTCGCTCTGGCCCAGGCACCCCTACGTACTTTAAGACGGTCCTGAAAGCTGCGGCGCACAGTCGCAAAGCTTTAAATGTGTTTTGCATACAGCAGATAGCAAAAACTTGACGGTACGGATGGTTGAAAGTGTTCAATTTTTACTTCCTACGCCACTGGCGAGCAAGTGTTGTAATTGCAGAAAATTAAAAATGACATCTGCATTACGAAAAACAATCCATCCCTTTCCAACCGAGTGTCTGCCCGTCTGCTGGTCTATTGATCTGTCGGTCTCTCGGTTTGAGAAAAAATTTGCAGGGGCTAAAAATTGTATGTTGCGGGTTGAACAAATTTTTCAGATCATAAATTTTCCCGCTTGTTCACCTTTAGAACTTGAATAACATGTGATATATTTTCATTACATGCATGCCATACAACTCCCTCCTCCCTCTGTATGCTTTGAATGCTAAGGCATATCAGAATCACTAAATCATGTTGCGCGAATCTGTGTATCTAACGTCGTACTGGGTTGCTATGTTGCTGGGTGGTTGGTACTGTCTAAAGGGGGGTCGGCTACATCGCAACGCACATCTATGGACAAATTGTATCAGCATGCATGAAGCAGCTGTACATGGTTGACCCTCTGTTGATGTGAAGGACGAAAACAGTATTATTCTAATGGAAATAACTCAAATAGTTTAAAAATAATTCAATAAAATCTGCAAAGTAACAAACTACTTGAACTTGAAGTGTTTCTAAATGAAACTACCTGTGATATACAGGGTGACTTCGAAGTTGAGTCATTTATTTTAACAGTCAGTAGATCTGATCAAAAGAAATGTTTTTTTCCTTCAACATTTTTGTGGTAAAATTAAAGTAACAAAGTTATAGCCCTTTAGAAGTTTGAATAATAATATTATGTGCTCGTGTTTGGCAACAACGGATATAATCCGCCTTATCGGTTCATCGCATCGGAAACAAAAAAGCGAAAGAATTTGAAACGCTTCTCACGATGTTTTTACTACCATTTTATTCAGTTGTATTCAGTCAATGTGTCAGTCGGTAACGCGTGAGTGAATAGTGGTGTTTGTTGCGTGGCTCAAACGAAATAAAAAATGGCACATGTTTACGAAAAGGCTGAACTTGTGGACATGATTCTTATTTACGGGGGGGGAGTCTTTACCAAATGCTGCCGCAGCATCACGGATTAATGCGGATCGGTTTCCCAATCGAGTGCAACCAACCCCTCGTGCCTTTGTTAATGTAGTACAAAGGGCTCGTGATTCAGGTGACTTAAGACCTCACATTGGAGGGCATGCCGGTGCTCCAAGACCGCACGATCAAATACAGGTCCGCACTGCAATACTTGTCGGGAGGATACTTTATAAAGCAAGGTAACATTTGTTTTTAATTTTTTTTTATTTTTACACACATATTTTGGTTTATCTTCCTTCTACAATCATTATCTGAAAATTAATGACTCAACTTCAAAGTATTTTGTGTTTCCGGGCACTGGGCAAAATCTGGCCAGATTATCTCTTTATATAAACACGAGTACATTTTAGCAACTTCATACTGTAGAAAACTTTTTCATCATGGCGGGACATGTATATACTTCAAAGCAGGACTAGAATACAATAATCTAGACTATTTGAATGATATTTCAGTTGATAACCATTTCGAATGTAATGGAATTCAAGTTATAACCGAGAACGTCAATTCGACTATTGTTTCTCTGTATAGAAGTCCTGATGCTGATTTTTAGAATTTTTTTAGAAAAACTTGAAGAACTCTTAAATATCTTTTGGTAATTTTAACATAAGTTTTAACAAAAACTCTTTAGATTTAAATTGTCTGTTGGATGTTTTAAGCTCATATTCACTGAAGCTTGTTATCAGACAACCGACGCGAGGATCTAATTGCATAGACAATATTTGTGTAGGAATGGATGTAAAGTGTGATACTGCTGTAGTAAACAATCATGTTAGTGATCATTTTGCTCAATTATTAACTCTAAACTACCAAAAAGATGATCAGCCACCTCAGATTTCCTACCAGTACCAATACCTTTATAATAAATCCAACATCACCAATTTTTTAGCTCTCCTGGGGCAACAAACCTTGGACCATATTTATCATTCCGCTGGGGATATTAATAAGAAGTTTGATTTATTCCTACAAACGTTTTAGTATTACGTTTCACAGCATTCCCAGTTATAACCAAAACTGTGAAAACAAGAGCCAGAAAATGATGGATAACAAAAGGTATCTTAACATCAAGAGGTAAGCTTCACTATCTATTTAATTTGTCTAAGACGGGAGATGTATTTCTTTTAGAGTTCTATAAAAAATATAAAACGGTATATGCCAGAGTTTTAAGGGCAGCTAAGCGACTATATTACAGCAGAATGATACTAGATGCAAAAAATAAAACAGAAATTGCTTGGAATCTAATAAATGAAAACAGAAACACACCTAAGCATGAAATCGTCAACTTAAATATAGAAAATAAAATAACCGAACCAAGAGAGACTGCCGAAAAATTTTTGCAGCATTTTAATAATATTCCAGGCTCATATGAACGTAATGGTACAGAAAATAATGGAAATAATATAGATAGAAACAGTCATTCTTTCTGTTTTCAACCCGCTGTAAGCAGTAACATAATATCAATAATAAATAACCTTAAACACTCCAACTCT